TATATCCTTTTAAAATAACAACCCTCTACATAGTTTGTGATCAATGAGGAAGTTAACATTTTCATTGCCTCTATATAATGTGTTACATTTTTATTTTACTGATATTAGTTCATTTCTATTTACCTTCAAAGGTTTCTGGGGACCCTTCCCCTTCTTTAAGCATCATGGAGAAGAGGAAGAATCAGGGTAAGATGGAGACAACAGCAACACATCAAATAAAAAAAACAAGTTATTTAACAGCCAAGCTGTTTTGGCCTTAAACCTCATCAGGAGTAATAACTTCAGAAACATAGATGGAAAGTGAAACACAGCTTTACATAGGGACAAGCTGCTGACCTGTGACCTGACAAAGGTGATCTTAGATCTGAAAGGGGTTCCACTTGGCCTGATAAAGACCCAAGAAATTATGACATTATAGTGGTTATAGTGATATGGTGTTGACATTATGGTCTAAGGTCAGAGGGCAGCAGGGAGAACAGTCCATGGTGGGAGGGGGTGAGGGGTCATTGATGGTGTTACGGGCTCGGGACACGCAGCGCTGGGATGAAATGTCTTTAATGGAGGGAAGAGGAGCCCTCATGATCATCTCTGCTGTTCTCCCCATTCTTCTCACCTTCTTCCAGTCTGAGGAGCTGCAGCCTCCACACCACACAGTGAGACAGCTGGTCAGAACGCTCTCTATGGTGCTTCTGGAGAAGGTGGGGAGGATGGGGGGGGTGGGGTTGGATGCAGGTGGGCTCTCCTCATCCTCCAAAATCCAAGAGCTTCTGGACCCTTTTGACCAGTGAGGTGGTGTTTCCAGTCCAGGTGAGGGGGTCTGCGATAAATTTGGTGCTGCTAACCACCTCTACAGCTGATCTGTTAATTAGCAGTGGAGCGTAGTTAGGCCTGTTCTTCCTGAAGTCCAAGATTATCTCCTTGGTCTTCTCCATGTTCAGGATCAGGCTGTTATCTCTGCACCACCAACTTCTCCACCTCCTCTCTGTAATCCAGGTCATTGTCGTCTCTAATGAGGCCCACCACTGTGGTGTAGGTTTCTATGACAGAGAGACAGACAAATACAGGCACAGGAAGGCACTCACACATGCACACAGCCACATGCATGTACGCCTACGCACACAAACACATGCATGAGCCCTTTCAACCAGATCAGACAGACAAATTAACTAAAAGTTTTCTATCTAATGAAAACCAGTTGATTGCATTGACTCGAATGCAATTCCTCACACTAAGCATGCTTGTAGCGACAGTGGAGAGGAAAAACTCCCTTTTAACAGGAAAAAACCTCCACCAGAACAAGGCTCAGTGTGAGCGGCCATCTGCCGAGGCTGACTGGGGTTCAAGTAGACAGAAGCAGAGATACAAAAAGCAGCTATAAAAGGCGGCCCCGTCCAGGAAACACACACCCAGGCAGACAAGCTCCGAGCCAGCTCCCATGTCAGAGGATGAAGAGAGCACATCCAACCAGTCATAGTCAGAGGAACAGGACTACACTGGAAAACAGGCAGATCTCCAACATCTATAAACAAGGGTGTTGATGGAAGAAGCACAGATGATGTTTCTCTCCAGGATGGTGTCACAGCCAAACAGGAACAGACAACGCAAATCTACTATGGGAAAGAGCAGAAAGCATAATGTTAGAGATTGAACTAACAAATTCTGCAGAGTGGGAGAATAGAGATAGAATGAAGCAGAATGATGAAAAGGGGGTCCCTATGTCCTCCAGCAGTCTAAGCCTATAGCAGCAGAACTATAGAGATAGCTAAGGATAACCTGAGCCACTGTAACTATAACCTTTTAAAAAAGGAAAGTTTTAAGCCTAGCCTTAAAAGTAGACAAGGTGTCTGCCTCATGGACTAAAACTGGTAGTTAGTTCCACAGGAGAGGAGGCTGATAACTAAAAGATCTGCCTCCCATTTGATTTTTTAGAAATTCTAGAAACCACAAGTAAACCTTCAGATTGAGAGTGAAGTGCTCTGTTTGAAACATAAGGAACAATCAGATCTCTGATATCAGATGGAGCATGGCCATTTAAGGCTTTATATGTGAGAAGGAGGATTTTAAATTCTAT